TTACCAAATGTGTAAATTATTATCTAATTGGTGTGTGTGAATTAGCTGCAAAACTAAGAAGCCTTTTTTTTTGAATAATAAGTTTTAAAATAATAAAATTTCATATTGTTTTCAGTGATATTTTCCTGATTTGTTATCACCATGGATGGGACTGGAGATGCTTCTACTAAATCACTGGATACAGCTGGAATGAGTTCAAATGAACAGGAGGTGATAGGCATGCTTCTAGCGCAGTCTAACTCAGATATGCATAACGTAAGTCTCTATGACATTTATACACCTATAGCATAAACACACCAAATATAGCCCCAATACCTTTCAATCATCCAAACATGGTCTCAACAACCTTTTCGTCAATCAAACATTTAATATTCTCCTAAGATTCAATAAGCAGATGGAGAAACTGATGGCTTTGGTCTATATGAATCACACTCAACACATGGGAACTCTTGGTGTAAAGCCATATTGTCATACTGGGGTATTAACTGCATATGTGTGCTTAGTCCCACCCAACCACGAACTGAATTATTTAGTAGTTATTGCGACCAGAGGGGGGGTGTCAATCATCGATCAGACATCAACTGAGCCATGTTCATAATTTGCTACAATAATGCGCTTGAATGAACCGTAAATGTGTGCAATGCAGGTGAAAACCTCGCTGGAAACAAAGAAACAATAATGAAACAGAAGAACATACATAGTTCTGATGACAATGTCCCTTTAATCCCAAAATCACAAGTTTTCTGTTGTCTTAATCTCCCGGTTAGATCACTCATTGATGTTGAACTCTCAGACTATGAAATTTTACTTAGTACAACTCTCATTCCCATTGCAGCCTACTGAATCTGAAGGACAGCATGTGGCCGTTTCCATAGCTACTGGTTTGTCAAATACAGATGGTAAACTACAGGTTGTTGAAAGTCAGAGCTTACAAGCAGTGACATTGCCTGATGGTACAACAGCTTATATTCAACATAAAGGTGAGTGTGATACATCAAGATTGGACATGTGATGTTGGCATCTATTCTTTGCTCATTGAATATTTATTGTACAACTTCAGATACTAAAAATAGTTCTTGGGATGGTAATTCTTGATATTGTCCTCAAGTTTTACCATCCCAATCCCCATCCCAATCAGCAATATTATAAGTAGTTTATATAAATTACCATTGTCTGCTGATAAGCCATATTCTGTGTTAAGCGAGATCATACGAAATCTTGTGTGACCTAAATCACGCACTTAGCAACCGGGCGACAAAGGTCAAGCTTTTCATTCACAACGGTGGCAACCATTATTTCGAATGTTCCTTGTTGTCTATTAGAAACCATGAGTTGTACGTTGGTTTGTTGAGGTACGTTTTGTCCTTTTGGGTCGGCTTCACCTGAGCTTTAAAAGCCCCTAGCATGCTGCTAGAAATACGCGAATATTGTAAATCTAAGACGTGTCCGTCAAAACAAAGTTTGTCTTCAAATGATTTGTATGCTCGGAGCTTCTTCCGGTCATAGTCAGACCTATGGCACATAAGATAATTAAAAACATCGCTCAAACCAAAGTCAGGAACGTCTGAAAAGTCAGTACTGTAACCGGGGAGGGTAAGAGGGTCTGTAAAATCACATCCTAGCTGTTTTAGTCGGTCACTGACGTCCCTCTTTGGATCACGTCTTGTCATATCCGGGTCTTCGTCTAGCCCTAAACTGTGGACTGCTTTTGCCAGCGAAACTAAAATATTCTTTCTATAATTTGCAGTGAACACGCCAAATTTGCGAAGAAAGTCTTTTAGCTTCGGGACTGTGAGCTTTTCAAAAGCATCCATGATCAATTAATAGCGAAAATCAGTTCTAAATGTTGCCGAGTCGCGTGTGTGGTTTACATGTCACGACGCCATTTTGTTCTAAAGCTTGACCTGCCAGCAACCGTTGCTATGGCGTAATCTCACTCTCGCGCGATCCCGCAGTTGGCGGAATATCCATTATTGTGATGTCCTGCATGTATTGACCAATCAAACTATTT